GAAACTTCTTTCCAACAAACCCTCCTTCCCATGCAGATTGCTGTTTACCTACCTTGTTTCCCCGTCAGCTTTTACTTAAACTGCAGCTGTGACGGACATTTGGCAGGATCTCACGCCATCAACCTGAAACTCCCTCGTGCCTGCTCCTGAACAGTATCTGTTGGCAGATGACAGGTCTCAAAGTTATTTCAACAATAGCACTTCAAGGGCTTTTGCTCCATCTGTTGTGGTGAATTGACACTCTATCCCTAAGGTGCCAGAAATAGAAACACTTTATCTACTGCTAGAGTTTCCATCACCCCTTAACTCCCTTAGCAAACATAATTACCATCTCAAAGCAGAAGAGACTGTAGCACGACGAGATCAGGTTCACGCATTTACAGAAGCCCTTCGTTTTATTTCTATTAACCACAAAGGTCCCTGCAAATTATTTCCCCCTCTACATCGTACAGTGACAGGATTAAAGCTGCAGAGGTTCCAGCATCAGCTTAAATTGTCTGGTGTGGATGAATTTTAGACTCACAGCAGGACAATTAAAATAAACATGGAGGTGAAAAGGGACTCATCAAACACTCAGCTAGCTCTTCTAGAGCGTGAACTTCCAAACACTTTCAATACTTGTGTATTTCACAGGTTTCTGTTGCTTACATGAGCTAAGCAACTTTATTTTCCAAGCTATCAACAGCCCCTGCATGACTGGAATGCCCTCTGTGGGGCATGTATTTGTTCAAGGGAAGTTGTAGAGAAAGTTTTTCCCTATTTCTTTTTTCTCCTATCCACCACTGTTGACACAGTGAACAATTTGTAAGAAGCCTTGAAATTTTAGTTTTTAAGTATACGACAAAACCCTGATTTTTTTCTATAGACGCTCCGAACTGAAAACTTCATCCTCTCTCGATGGGGTGGGGGCTGTCTCATGCCGAGTTCCCAAAACAGCACAGCATACAGTCACCAAGCAGATGAGGAGTGTAGCTACTATTTTTTTCCATTCATTATTGCCCAGTTTCCATGCATAAGCAGCAAGGCTATCCACTGGACCAGTAACAGAATTCAGCTTTTAAACGCTGACCCGGTTTCAGATGAGCAAAGAACTGGGGAGAGAGTAATCTAGCTTCCACGGCCACTCGACAAAAATAACCATGTGTGAGACCAGACCCAGCAACGCTCGTTAGCTCTAGGTGTGGCTTGTGTTTCTCAAAACATGGATACTTGCTTACTGAGATCCTCAGATGAGCAGCTGTTAGCACTCGTTAATTTTTGGTCCTTCCAAGTTGAGGCTAGGGTTAAAGTAGTGCCGTAGAGGATATAACTTGTATTCCATTATGCGTGTCAGACATACTTATGGCACGTTCTGTCCAAAAGTCTCCCAGACCTTTCCTATGAGCTAAGCCAAGCAGTATTTCTCCGTAACAAACATGACTAGGAAGAGGTCTCTGTTTTTGGAACGGCTATAGTCATACTTTTGCCTTCCTGGAGGAAGCTTAACAGAGCCGAGACTAGCAGTTATTTAGGATTATTGCTTCACCTTGCACTACAGCTCAAACAAATGTGACTAGATAAATAAAAAATATATTCTGCTTGACGCTGCCTGGATGTGGTACATATATTATAGCCTCTTTTAGAAGCACGCCACATTAAAATAGCGTGGGCTGAGATGAGAAAGCCACCGCAGACTCAGAGTGACTATTTTGAAAGGTACAGATGCACAGTAGAATCAATGCCCCTGCAACCTTTTTTTTTTTTTTTTTAAAGGTTTGGGAGTTTAGGATGATGACCTCAAATCCATCTTAAGCTTCACAGATTCAGACAAATTGTCTTGACAAACTCATGATTTTCCTAGAGTATAACTTCAGAGTGGCAAAAGAGCATGGTGTGTACACGCACAACTACTTTAGCAACAGCCCAGTGAAGTTTTACACTGACTACAGGCTGACACTCTCCTTTTCCTGTATTTTTAATGATAAACAAAAATAAACATAATTGTAAATATTCTGAACCACATAAATTCTAATTGGAAAACGCAAATGTTTATATGTGCCTCTTTCTTGCTGTTTTCAGTGGCTTGCAGAAAAGCTCTGGACAGTACCACAGTAGCAGCTCACGAATCTGAAATCTACTGCAAAACTTGTTACGGAAGAAAATACGGTCCCAAAGGTATTGGCTTCGGACAAGGGGCAGGATGTCTCAGCACTGATACTGGTGACCATCTAGGCTTGAATCTGCAACAGTGAGTTAAATCCCACTGACAGCACCTTTTTCTGGTACTACTTGTCACTTGGCGGGGTATTTTAGATATCTTCCTCTGTTTCCATAACAACATCTAGCGTAAGCAGCAGAGCAGACTTTCCTACAACCTTTCCTTCAGTGGACACAGTAATTTACCAGTTTTTAATGATGTTCAGCCTCTTTAAGCCTTCTTTATAAATCATCTCCTCCTTCAATGGGCAATTATTCTGCAGAAGCAACCTTTATATGCCACCACAGACGTAAATATTCACTGCAATTGTAATTTGCTATTAGTAGCATAGTGGTAAAGTCACATTCACCATAGAACATGAGAATATTTTTCCTATCAGAGGCTAAAATACAGTTAGGTTTTACTGTTAGAGAAATAATCACACTACCACATACTGTTAACTCTCTTCTCAATAGGAGAAATAATGTTTCTAAATCCTCCCTGTGGCTCAAATAACTCACAAACATAGCGAGAATATGTTTGAACAAGGAAATTCTAATGGGATACCATCTTCCAAAAGCCTCAGCTGCACATAATTATCCCCGACAGTACATTTTTATAGTATTTTTCTACGATTCTCAAAGCTGCACATTTCCAAATCAACGATGCTTTCTTCTGGTATTACTATAAGGAAACCAATTAACCAATATGCTGTGCAGGAAATAACAGCTTAAATAATGTATTTAACTGTAGCTCCTTGTAAGATACGAATCCATTACAGGCAGAGTTCTGTATCAGAAACTGTCACGTCCTGTAGATTTAATGACCTGTTGCAGTCCAACAATCCGGTAATTCAGAAGTCTGTGAAAGGCTTTAAGCTAGCATGAAGACATAAAGCATGAAGTCCAGGAATACAAAGCAAAACTACTTTTCTGATGTGCTTTTGACCCTAGGCCAGCTAAGAACCCCAGTTCCCTGTCCAAATGTTACAGTGACTAATGAAACAACTGCACGCAGAATCTAAGGGGTTTTTTCCACTCCATACCGAGTACCAGCAGACAGACAAAGAATAGAGAGGTCTTTTGATTGTATTTTCCCTCTTGCCCCTCAATAAAACAAAATTCTTTTTTACTTTCACTTTTCATTAAACATAACCTTTTCTGCACGTGGCTACTGTCAGCTCCACATACTCAGCCCAAACCAGGTAATACCAGTGGTTACAGTATCAGCTTTTCAACCACACAACACAGAATTCAATAGAATATTTTCATTTTCTCTTCCCCCCCCCCCCCTTGCATGTGTAAGACCAGTAATTTAGTAATTTTTATCCCTTACCAAAAATCATGAAATCATATTTCTAGAATGAAGATAAATTTTAAACAGTATTTTAAAACACTGAAAACTTCTGTTTTAGGGGGTCACCAAAGTCTGCTCGCCCTTCTACACCAACTAATCCTTCAAAGTTTGCCAAAAAGATGGTAGATGTGGATAAATGTCCCCGTTGTGGCAAATCAGTGTATGCTGCAGAGAAGATCATGGGGGGAGGAAAAGTAAGTAATTACTACAGCACTTGAAACAAAATACGCTCTTACAATGGTGATAAACTGTAGCTAATAGGTCCCTGATCTTTTGATAAAAGATCTGATAAAAACTAAGAGTTTTTACTCATAGTCCCAATGAAGAAAACATGAGGATGAATTAACAAATTGCTAGAGTCAGATGAGTGACTTTCAGCTTTAAAACCACGTGCTTTTCGTAAGCCTTCTTCAACTTTTTGCACCTTGTTGATGCCTGAGGAACAACTCCTGGCTACAGTACCGGCTGGCTCTTCTACCACTGTCACTCTACTAACATCTGTGGGGATATTTATCATTTAAACGTTTATTTGCAGTGGAGATAAATTGAAGAGATTCTGTGACTAGAAAAACAAAAGCCTGCCTCTCAGGACATGCTAGCTTTCTGCTCTAGGAACTCTCAGTAGAATATTATCTCTGCACATCAAAGAAATGGCCAAAACGAGAGTAGTATCTATAGCTCTCTGCTTTTTACTAGACCCCCATTAATAACAAAGTCACTAGGTAAGATCTTGATATGGGATAATAAAGTAATTGAAAAAAAGACTAACCTAGAATGACTAAAAATGGAAGCCATAAGACCAACAAGACAATTTTAACCTTTTCACACCATAAAAAGCAACAGTGTTTTGCTTCTTGTACCTGTTAGCCGTGTACTTTCTGTAATGTACAATGAATTGTCTTAATTTTCTCAGCCTTGGCATAAGACATGCTTCCGCTGTGCTATTTGTGGAAAGAGTTTAGAATCTACGAATGTTACAGACAAAGATGGAGAGCTCTACTGTAAAGGTAAGAATTCTAATGAGCTGAACTGGGTTATTGAGTCAGTCTAAAACTATTCTTTTTAGACCTAGTATTGCCATCATGATTTACCTTGTTGCATGCTTAACTTCATGAAATTTCATTTTATCTTTTTTAACAACTTTATGAAAGCAAAGGAAAGATGGTAACATTGCAGTTGCATCTTCTACTATTAACATTTAAATTTTTAAGTTTAATTTTTTTACAAATATGACATCCTGTCAGATCTGTCCTCAGACCTTCTAACAGGAACACTGGCCACATCGGCTGGGCAGATTCTTGTACCTGCACAATCTCTCTCACTCAAAAAACCCAACCCAACCCCAACCCACAAAGATACGTATCTTCAAAGCCCATCTGTCTAAGGTCATGGTCCTGGACTTCTTCCCAGTAAGAGTTAAAAAATACTTCCACTACATTGGTAGTACAGAAGATAATGCATTCATGCCAAATTATACCCCCAGCTGTTCTTCTCAGATTAAGAAAGTTCACAGGACTTCACTTCACAGGACTCTTAGAAAGAGCCTGAAGTGAAAAATATGCAAAGTTTTTATATGCTATGCTAAAATTTACAGAGAATCCTAAACAAGAATACTTAAGTTTTATGACTTTGTGTGCAGTCTGACAACTGCAAGTGATGACATTAGCATATTTTGAGAAATATGCTGACCATTACTACTTCCTTAGCAGAGTTGTGATAAATAACTACGCACACACTTAGCAATACAGAGTTAACATGGAATGGTTTAAACTACCATCTGATTTCTGGACTAAGCTCTAGTTCTTTTAACCTCCTTTGAAAAACTCCAACTTAATACTCTGTCTGTATTACTCATACAGACCAAGTTTTACTGAGTATTTTCAGACAGAAAAGTAGTTTGAATGAAAATGTTACTTACATCCTAAATACATACAGTTTCTTAATTTTTTTTTTTGAGAAGATCAGATGTGACGTTTGTTTAATTCAAATATGTGATTCCACTATTAGAACCTGTCAATGCTTCTGAGAAAGATGCTATTTCAGATCTCCTTCCTTTTATTAACTTAAGTTGGGAAGCAGTACTAAAACCAAAAGTCATTTACGTCTATATGAAAACATCCAGAACACCATCTGCCTCCCTCCTTCTTTTGCAGTTTGCTATGCAAAAAATTTTGGTCCCAAAGGAATTGGGTTCGGTGGCCTCACTCAAGTGGAAAAGAAAGAGGAGAAAGATGCTATTTCAGATCTCCTTCCTTTTATTAACTTAAGTTGGGAAGCAGTACTAAAACCAAAAGTCATTTACGTCTATATGAAAACATCCAGAACACCATCTGCCTCCCTCCTTCTTTTGCAGTTTGCTATGCAAAAAATTTTGGTCCCAAAGGAATTGGGTTCGGTGGCCTCACTCAAGTGGAAAAGAAAGAGTAAACAGACTCAAACTGCTGTTGATGCCGCTTAATGTTAAGTAAAACATTAAACATCACACATTGCTAAGAACCTAGGGCATTTGTTTAATATTTTCCACCTTGCAGGAAAAACTTGTGAGCTTATATCTTAAGAAATTCTTAGAATAGCTTAAAAAGGTACAGTGATAAAACTAGATTCATGTTTGTTTTACAGTAAATAAAGACAAAAAACCTCATGGAACATTATTCATGGAACATTATTGCTTCTTAAACTAGTATTTACCACACTTTAGACTGGAATTTTAAAGACTCAGCATACTGTCCCATTAAGATAGAGATACCTTATAGAGCGCAAGAGTCAGAGTGTTCCGACTTGGGCCATATTTTCCTTCGTTCAGAATGTTATGCCGCCTATATTTCTACCAATCTTCTAACGGAGTTTTGAACGTTTTGATATTTTGTGTTTTGGCAAAGTAGATGTTATTCACTTTGACAGAAAGAATTTCAAATCCTTTTTACTTGTCTCAAAGGGAGATATTTCTGAAGAAAAACAACATTTTCTTAAAATACAGTGTTGTAAGTTTTGTTATTGTATGTTTTCAAGCTACAATAAAGTACTGATATTGCTTCACATAATTTTTACTTGAATCCACTTGTGCTTCATATGTTACTATGTCACAGATAAATGCATTTCACTGACATGTATGAAATCTCCCATTTCTTAACTACAAGAAATCTGTTTCATTACACTCCTTTACTCTTATGTTGTCAGTTCTAGATGGTATTTAACTTGAATTTTCTGATCTTGATCTGTTTCCCTGCTGGTTTTCATTATTACCTACTTTGACTTATATTCAAAACCACACTGCCCAGCCTGCCACTTCAGACTGACATAGCCTTTTCTTGGGAACGTGGCTGACACCTAGCTATTAAAGTTCTATGCATGCAGCTGGGAATAATTCCCTCTTTTTATATACATTGCTATTTTCCATCATCAACTTACCCATTTTCATACACTAGTAGGGTATATATACATGTAAAACACAAGGCAAAGATGATTTTGTGCCTACCTGTTCTTAAATACCTCACTGGTCACATATCCCTTGAATCTATTTCAGTCTGTAAAAATACACTTAGAAGCATGAAAGTTCTGTTTTATTACAAGCAAACCCTCCAAATGCAAAGGCTTAATAGAGGTTTTCACAACAAAAGCAATAAAGTTACAGGGCAATTGTAATATTACATTTTAAAATATGAACATTCCCCTTAATTTTCAAATGTAATTTTCTTTTATTATCTGCAAAATAAAGCAAAGGGTACCAAAATAGTTTTGAAATTCTGCCCTAAAAACTTACCTTTAAAAAATATATTCTTAGTGTCATCTCATCTCAGAAAATTTCAAATAGTTTCAGCTCAAACTATATATACACATACAGTGATTGTTCCACATACAAACCTGCTGTAGCTTATGCAAGATAGGTTTAATATTTAGAACAATAGTAAAAATAAAAACAAGCAACTTCAGAAGAATTTGTAAAAATTAACAAAATATCCAGTTTTATTTAGCTTTCAGCTCAATGTTTTTAGAAATTAAGCAAAACTTCATACAGAATGAACATTTTTCTCTTTTGCCAGATGAAAAAGGTTGTATTGCTTGGTCCAGTCAACTACATTGGGTTTGAACATACCAAAGCAACTGCACTGAAAAAAGTCTGCAAGATTCTGGAAGCATCCAAGACTGAAAATGAGAGAAATATCCATTAATAAACCTAACAAAAGAAGACTGCAGGCATCAAAAATACACATTCACCATGAGACAGTACTTAAGATACAAAGCTGTCAATGAAGACAGCTCTGGGAGAAGAAAAATAAGAACAGTTCTCTACTGAGCATCATTCCTTTGTTGAACTTTTACAACCTGTATTACACTTAAGAGTGAGAGCAGATTAAGCTCAACTTAAATATTTAAAAGTTAGTAAGATCTCATCTGCTAACACACATGAGGAAATACAGACTTCTTGTATAACAGGTAAACCTTGGTACTAATTTCTCTCTTGAGCTAAGTAACTGCAAGAGAAGTCAGAAAGGGGCCAGTTCATACCTTAATTCTCTTTCTGAACCTACCGAACAGACACAGAGATAGATGAACAAATGAAAGGACCACATCCCCTCACCCCCAAAATAGCATCTACTGGTTAGAACTATGGACTGATTTTGGCACATCTTTTTCCTATATACACAGCCGTGCAGAAAGAACCCCAGCAGCTCTTACGCTGGCTGTTTATTTCTTAGGCCAAAGGAAGTTCTCAGCAAGGAAAATCAGGTCCATTTCCTCTTCTTAGCACAACTCATAACAGGCATGACCAGCACGTCCATAGAGCACCATTTTTTTGCATTTATGAAGTAGTGAAGCAAATCAGTACTGAAAAGATACGTGCTTAAAACACACTACTCATTAATACTCACTTGTATGGAGTTCTCCTGAGTGAAACAGGATGCTTAGAAGATTTCCTCTGTATCAGGAGGTTCATTCTCTCATGCGAGGTCAACCCCAAGAATGCAATCTTACAGAAAGGAAAATGTAAGTAATGGTTAAAACATGAACATCACAAATTAAAATTCTGGTGATACAAAAGATACTATTGAGAAGGGAGTGAGGGGAAGGAGGTTGGCCATATCTAACAAATAAGTAACTAGTGCCATAATTAATGACTGAAAAGTATGTTTTTAAATGTCACTTGAACTAAAACAGAACCCAGCAAGCTTCAACATTAACGCTTCCACTGAGAAGGCAAGCTTAACTGGGATGACTGTAAAGACTGTACTTTTACAGATGTCTGTAGAAGTATAAGATCTATAGCAGCTAAGCACCTATCTCCTCAGATTTTGTCTATATTCTACCACACAAATTGGTAGAAAAAGATCCCCCCAAAGACAAAGTAGCCTAGCAAAAAAGATGAAGTAGGTGTCAGAGACTTAACAGTAACTTTTTCATTTTCTTGATTTGATGTCTTCTTTCACTGAGTTTCACAATGAGATTTATGGGGGTTTTTTCGCATTTTTGCTTACCTATTTCTTTTTCCATTTTCTTATTTTTTTTTTTTAATCAACATAATCTTATAAGCCTTAAAAATGGCCGCAAGGTTGCTTCACTGAATGACATGCTAAATATCATAAAGCAGTACATTTACAAGTGACTGTGTACGAAACACAGTAGTTAACTGTAAATATCCTACCTGGATGCTTTTTTCCCCAGAATATCTTAGTGTCTTGGACATTAGAGAAATCTAGCAGTACACATTTAAAATTGTGGATTTTTTTTTTTTTTTAAAGATGTAAAAGAAGTCTTTAGCTCAGTATGCTTAACACATATTCAAATGACACATCTTTCCTAAAAGCTGCTAAACAAGCTGTTTCCTAGATGTTATAAAGACAGCTCTTCTCAATCTTGGTTGCATAGCCACGCTCTCTGAGAAAAATGTAAACAAGAAATTTGACAGTCCTAATCAGGATAAAATCCAGGTCATATATTTTTATTGTAGCAATGGGATTCAATACAGTCTAATGATGCGCTGCTGAGCTCTGCCATAGAATTTTCAATTCAGGACTAATTATGCTATTGAGCTTTTGTATCATTTTTGGGGTAGTAATACCAGTTCTATTAGTCAAATAAGTTTCTTGCCTTTAAATACATCTTTTTATAGGTTTGGAATTTTTGATGAGTAGGAATCCCAGAACTCAGTTATAGGAATGATTTGCAGACTGTGATCCTACTTTTAACATGGGAAAGCTGAGTGCACAAGTACCCATGAAACTTAAAGGACTGCCCTGAGATTTAAGAAAAGCACCTAGATGTGACATTAATTAGCCAAGGAAAGCAGGCACAAAGTTTTTATGGGAGCAAATCATCTAGGGAGAAGTTTTAATATGATGACTCTTTAAGAGAGGAGCATAAACTGAAGCAAAATAATACCTGATAAAGCTGAAGAGTTAGCCCCAGTGAAGCCCATACAGTATGAAAACAAGCTACTGTGAAGATGTAGGAAACCCACGGAGAACAATATACTATCTGTGTGAAGTATGTCCACGCTCCATCTTGGTGATAACTTGTTGCACAATGGTTTGACCAATCTGACAAGATGCATAATCAGTTAATTATGTTTTTAGGCCACTTAAGAATCAAACAAAGATTATTTCCATTGTTATGGAATGAATATTATATAGCAATACGCTCTAAAAATACCATGTTTAATATATCAAGTTCCCACTTAAAAGCACCCACATAGACATGTGACTGCTTGCTATTCTGGCTGCATAATCTTTACATTATGTGTTCATAATCCACAGAAGAACATTCAAGGCACTGGCTACATACTTTTTATACGATATTGAAATAAGTCGTCACCTCTCATTGCCAAAACTTCTGAAATTTTGCTTCATGCTTATTTGTAATTTTAGGACAAGAATTTATTATTTATCTTAAACACCACCATCAACAAAAGAAGACATGATGGTGACAATACCAAGAAAGCAGTACTTTACCACTATTAAATAGACATAAACTGGAATGTCCAACTTCTGTAAATTTCTTAAGAAATACTTAAAGCCTACGACATATGTATTTAACCTATTTAAAAAAAAAAAACCAAACACCAAAAGCAGAGCAACTTCTTTTTGCCTCTATGTCAGTAGAACAATAAAGAGGTTTTCCTCCCATGTTCCTTCACATACAGGAAATGGAGGAAGTAATATGCTTTTTGCATACATAAGACCACCACTGAAACCACAGGAAAGCAACTCATGTTCACAACCTGTGCCCTCCACTGCCATAGCTGGTTCACTTCACTCTGCGTTGAATATTGACTCATTTCAATATAATGTGAAGTAATAGAAAATAAAATGAACTCCCTCTACTTTTTATTTAAAAGGTTAGTGCCATGCTAATTCTTCCTCAGGATCTACATTATAAGGGCTGTCCTCTCTCCCCCAAGAAATTTCTTAATTTTCCAAAGTAACAGTTTAGATTTATTAATGAGATATACAGTTCTCTTCT